GGAAACATTTCAATACAGTGTATATTGAAGTAGATTAATATGTTTTCAATTTATCATTAAGGCAGACCATTTTATTGACCTTCCAGATGAACATAAGGATTTATTTTTCCTACATTGAACTAAAAATAGATTGAAAACAATTCTGAAAAGTTATTTCATCTGAATCAAAATTCCACTCAAGTGAACATAATATTCAGGCACAAAGAATAGGAGAAGGGGGAGAGATTGCCCCTTCCCCACTTTTTCTGAATGTAAATTTTAGCAATTTCTAGTTTGAAAATGTTCATCGAAAGTCTTGTAACCACCCCCTCTTTTTAATACAGTATGGTTAAAAAAACTCTCCTACTTTGAGTGGACAAGGTGCACATAACATTCAGGAGCATAAAATCAGGGGTGGGTGGGGTGGGGTGTCCTCCCCCTTCCATTTTCATGAACGTAAATTTTTATTTATTTATTTATTTTTTTTGCTTGAAAATGTTCCTTGCAAGTCTGGATGCTCTACCCCCAACTTTTTGATACAGTAGAGTAAACGGAAATCCCCCTTACATCAATAAACTTTTTGAGGGGTTCATCAAAGATATTTCTAAGGTAACTTGTCATTTTTGCCTCTTATAATGCCCTATTTCCCTTTTCGATGTTATGCCTGATATTCATTTCCTACATTGCACCTAAATACATTTCAAATGCAAAATAAATACTGGTTATGCTTATGTTAACTCCGATTCTCTCACTTTGTTGTTTGGCTGGGACTTGAGAAAATGTAAACAAGAAACGACATGTCTGCTTAATCAGTTTGTATCAATTTATTCGTTGAATCATATAAAAAAAAACAATTATTGCTGTTTTTTTCTGTCAGTACGATGATTTTCCACCATCGAAAAACAATGTTCACCTCGCCTTTGGACTCGATAAATCTTTTACTCCTTTAGATTCTGAATTATCGCATTGTCCTTAAAATAGCAATAATTGTATAATGTAATGAGATCAACAAATCGTCAATTTATTCCCCGTTAAGCTCAAGTGAGCATTTTGGCCAATAGGTCTCTTGATTGACTGATTTGTTTTAGCCCCCTTAAAATTTCAACTCTAATCCATAAGGGGTCATTATTTTACGGGAGTCATTTTTCTTCAGGTAGGGTAAATTTTTAGGGTGATGACAATTTTTCTACGGGCAAAAGGGTCATTTTTCGACGTCGAATAATGACTGGGGGTCATTTTTTGCCGTTGAATAATGACCTGGGGTCGTTTTTCGACGGCGAAAAATGACCCCCGGTCATTTTCCTATGGGGGTCATTATTCGTCTTTACACCGGCGTAAACATAAAATAAAGCGACTTTACTAATTTGAAAACGATTTAACCATTCCTTAAGAAGAATTACGGTTCTAAGAAGTCTTTTTAATTATACAATGCATTATTTAATTTCATAAACTATGAAGATGAAGATGGGGGGAGGGGTTACACCCACTCGAGGAGGTAGTTGACATGATGTACATGATGTATTTAGCTACATAACTATTAATAAATTTCTTCATAAAAGATTGCCTTATTAGAGATTCATCTTAACACCATCTCTTAAGTTTTCACAATCCTGCAGTTATACACATTTGATTGTTGTATTTTGAGTATGAGGTATTGTAAATCGACTATACGATATACATTTTGTGTCATAATTTTGACATAAAAGCTATTTTTCCCAACTTTTTTTTGGATGGGGGGAGTAATTTTTCCACAAGAGCACAGTTATCTTCTTAAACTTTGGTTAATAGCCATATTAAAAAAAATTAATTCATCGTAAAACCAAGTAGGCTTTTTTAAAAAAAATTATCGTGCTCGAAAATTCCATTACGATTTTAGGTTGTAAACAAGTTTCTCAGATGGAATTTTTGTTCACTGATGACCCTGCCCCCTCCTCCGAATTACTCTAAGGCAAGAACTCTCTAGAATTCTCGCGCATGCTTAGCCTGACGTGAGCCCATGGCATCCGATTTAACACCGCTTATATATTTTCTGCGTGGACCTTGTGAGGTTGTTTTGTTGTTCGAAAATAAAATGCACAAGGTTAACAAATACTTTTAAATTATTTCAATGACATTTTGTTGATTGGCACAAACTTTAATTCCTGATATTTGCCGTTATCAATATGTTTCGCCTCATGAATATTCATCAGATAACGCCGACTTACAACTAATTCGTACATAAACCGATTCGTAGATAAGGAGTCAATGTTTGGTGGCAGAGGATAGTTTTTTTAATGCCAAACATGTGCCGAGGAGGTACACATATACATGCGATCCATAAAAACATATACATGGAGACAGTTTTCCAAGCGAACAGGATAAAACACCCAGTAGTTTGTAAATCAATGCATGCCCTAATGAAAATTCACCAATTGATATGGGGCCATTCACCTTCCCTCTGAGATACACACCTTCTTCTAAGGCCTACTGCTTTTCAGCTGAATTTCCTCTGCAACTGACCATGTGTCTTAGTTTCGCATTTACAACTCTGTATATGGTAAGTGTCATAGTGACACCTACATGTTGCACATCATTTTTTTCAGCAAGCACTCTGCTACACTGCAAATATGTCCCATAATTATTCTAATCATTTTTCTACCTAAAATATCACATCAAACAGAGGATATATCAGTTTTTTAAGAAATTTGACCGGGTCTTTAGTACGAAACTATCCCCTGCCACCTTTAACTTTCAAAGTTTGCTTTTCAATTAAAATAACTTTCCATATTTAGAAAGTGCAATCAATTCTGAGTAAAAATATACTAAACATGTCTTTTTTCAATGAAAAATAAAAAAGTTAGAGGCAAATAAGTTACCCCACCAATTGACGGTCAACCACCTTAACCCCATATTCTTTGTGTTACTTCAAAAATGACCAACTCCTACAATCCAAAAGAAACTATTTCTTATCAAAACAGTGTTTAATGGTAACTTTGATCAATTTCAAATGCAGCTACATATAAAAAATTCAATAAGAATTGCATGCCTTGATGAAATGTACTCACATGTAACACATACTCTCCTATTTTTGATGTTTTGAGAAATCCCATTTTACCTCTTAATTGCTTGAATTTATACATCTATAGCTTGTTTGCAAAAAGAAAACCTAATCTATTTTTTCAGGATATTTATTGTAATATACAAAAACCCCTCTTGCATCAAAGGTTCAAGAAGAAGTGTCCTGGAAATTGCAGTTATCTACCCTACCCCTCCAACCATTACCTGATTCTATTGAAAATATACTGTGGAAATCTGATTTTTCTGAGTATATTACATTCAATTTCAACATATCTGAAGGATCAAATACATGCATTTGATTCCCCTGAATATTTAAAGTGATCCTCCTGTCATTACTTGGCATTTGTGAGTAAATTTCAGGTGCTTAATAGAATCCAATAATTACATGAAAACGTACATATTTTTGATATTTTTTTCATTAAATATGCAAAAAGTCCATCTGTTTTGTTTTAATTTAAAGAAAAATGTATAATCTATATGAAAATAATGAAAAGTTTAAGTTCTATCACATTATGGAAGACAAATGAGGGGGGAAATGAAGGCGAGGGATGTAACCATCAATAGTAAAATGGGTCTTTAGTACGAAACTTATCCCCTGCCACATTTGATGCAATCCACAAAAGTCAATTTTTACACAAATTTGAAAAGTCAATTCATACAAACGGCTGATTTTGTACATGGTTAACAAATACTCTTGAGATATTTCAATGACATTTTGTTGAAGGGCATAAAGTTTAATTCCTGATATTTGCACTTATCCATATTCCTCGCCTCATGAATACTCATTTAATTACGCCGACCTACAACGAATTCATACACAAACCTATTCAAATATTCATATGCAAACAACAGAAGTCAATTCGTACATAATTTTTTTCGGTTTTTTTTTTAACATGACACACATGTGAAAATCATTTCATAAACACGGCTTTTTTTAAGTTTTGTTGATGTAAAATTTAAATAAATTTATTAATAGTCAGAAAGTTTGGGGAAACTCATTTATGGATAATGGTTTGACATTTTAACTCCGAAATATAATAATCATTGATAAACAACATACGCGCGGCGGTTTCTTAGTTTTGCGACAAACGCTTATTTCGAGATGTTCCCAATTTGATACTCCCTAATTACGAGATACACTATGCTTGGAAGTCGATCTCCAAATTTCTCCATTCCCAAAAGTACAATATGGTTCGAGGGCTCCACGTACATTCCTTGTTGCGGAACTGCATGTTTTATAAATATTTTTTTTATCATCGTAATTGAAATTTTACGATGTCTTTTGATTGTTTGAATTTTTAGTTTCTGTTGTATACTATATTAGAAAAATGTATATTTTCGGAAAGGGAAAAAAAGTACACATTTTAAGCAGTAATAAAAGGATTGTTGGAGGCAGATACGATCCCATAAAATTTGCAAAGTTTATTTATTACGATTCTATCAAAAAAAAAAAAAATAAACCATTGCCTAATTATTGGACCCAAAAACTACCGAACGGATGCTAATTTATCAAAGCTATAATTACAAAGACTGTGACAAACAAAAGTTATCCATATATTTCATTCGTATTTGAAAATTCTATCGTTCCTCGAATAAAATTTTACCTTTAAAAAGGGTAAGAAAAAAGACTACAAAAATACATGAACATGAAATATTAGGATTTTCTTGCGAATTCAGTGGGCTTAATTTACATCTTGGTCAGTCATCTCCGGCATGCATGTGTTCACAAATTAAACTTTGTATTGCGCAATGTCAAACGGGGTCAGTGCAATAAAGATTACGTATGAGAAATAGCATCGTCGCAAACCACGGCAAAATTTCAAATAATGTCTCAAATAATGTTACTTGTATCTAAAAGTAATATGTTTCTCTTCACATAATCATTTTACGTCTACTATCAATTTGCATTGCAAAAATGCTGCATGTTTTTAAACATGTTATTAATTTATTACGTTTCTTTTTATAGATTATATATAAGAATGGACCATATTCCTCGTCTATCAGAAGTCCTGTATGTTGGTCTGTGTCGTAAGATAGGGACACCGACAGAAGTAGCCATCAGAAGGGACGTGACGGACATGTATGAGATGATAGAGAAACCTGTTAATATTCAGAAAGGATTTGTTAGGATTCAGAGTGGTAGTTCTAAAGAGGGGTTTAGGTTGAGGTCATCCGACATAGATAGAATGTTCTGGCCGTGTGATCTTAAACTAATATCTGATATTTCCCAGTCCCGGCTTTTTAATACTTCAAAACATATCATTGTGGTAATGGAAGATTCTGATACACCGCCAGGATTTGTCAGACTACGCCTTCTGACACCAGCACGACACATAGACACGATATTTCTTGTTCCCTTTGATGGTGGAGCTTATATATCTAGTTCTCTTTGGAGAGAAAGATATTTTCAGTTCATGTATGAGGTACGTCCCCCTTCTGAAAAAATCAGAATCCATGGTCCTTGTACTAGTGGTTTCACTGAATCTATAGAATTCGATGAAGCTCATTGTTTAGCCACTATTCCTTGGCCTAAACAATTAAGGAATTGGGTTTACAGATGTCAGAGGTACACCTGGCCGCCTTTACCTGTGTTAAAAATTATTTTAAGAAATGAATGTCACTGTGTGCCTATTGGAAGTAAAGGTGTTTCGACTTCTAACGAATTGGAATGGAGATTATCATTTTCTCTAGCTGAACAACAACTAGTGTGTACCATGAATCATACACAATTTTTATGTTACGGACTTCTGAAAATATTTCTGAAGGAAGTTATCAATTACAGGAAGGAACCATTACTGTGTTCATATTACATGAAGACCACGACGTTCTGGATTATGCAATTAGGACACCGTAGATGGTGTCCGAACAATTTACTCGACTGCTTTTGGAGATGTTTTAAATATCTCCTTCATTGTGTTTATCGTGGATTGTTTCACAATTTTTTTATTCCTGAAAACAATATGTTCCTAAACAAAGTAGTTGGTAATGCACGTGAATCTCTTTTACAACAGCTTTATCAGTATTACAGAATGGGTGTGTCCTGTCTACTGCTTAGTCCGACTCTCAGATCAATCCTAGAACCTGCCCTCAGTAACCTGTCGTTTGTGTTATCTCCTTCTGAGGGGGAATTCATAGGTATTGCTGATTTAGATTTATGTGTCTTGATTGAATTATTGACATTAAGTTTTTCTGCTCAACACATATGGGATTCTTATCTTCGTTTAAAATCAATTAACACACTATCTCTGTTAATATCAATCTCACCACACCAGTTGTTAACATTACAGTATGGTACTGCTCAGACTCTTGTTGAATTGGCCTTCATAATGGCAAACAGTACTTCATGTTGCACGCATAAAAATATCTATAACTTAGATACAATGATACGTGGAATGTTGAAAATGGCAGCAAGATTAGGTCCTGTGACTTATTTACTCTATCTGTCGATGTATTACTATAGAATGGGGAGATATGATAAAACACTATATATCACGTATCTCACTAAACATAGACTATCACAAACTTTTATTATGTATAAATATACTGATGGACAAAGGTACAACGAAGCAACTGTAGGTAATCTGTCTTTGTCTAGAAGAATGAGAGAAGCCTGGGCAAGTGATGTGAATTTAATTTATGATATACACTGTATTGGAGAATTGTGTTTAGAACAAAATGTGAGTCAACGAAATGGAAGGTATCTGTTAAGTTTATCACCGTTTGTTATGGTAGAGATGTTATCAGTGTTATCTCACTATAGACTAAGTAATAGATCTCAGTGTTTACAGTCACTGACAGACCTACAGACAATGCTGCTGTATGATAATGGGAAATATGTTCCTTTACTTTTAAGAGACATCTCCTGGCAGGTACTAGGTATCTGTCAGCATGTGGTCGGGGACTTACACGGAGCGTTACAGTCTTATGAAGAATCGCTTAGACAGGAACCATTCAACAAAATAAAAGAAGCTACAGATTGTAGAATAGGATGTGTTAATCAACAACTACAGAGAAATGCACACATGTAAAATATGTTTTTCAATGTTTTTTTTTTTTAAAGAATTGTAGACCAGGTTACGGCACTTATGTGAAAAAACTGTAAAAAAAACACAGATGAAACTTTAAAAATAATACAAATTTTCTATCTTCTTTATAATCTTTACATTAAATCTTGCACTTACATATACGAAGTTGACCATTCTAAAGGTTTATAAATTTAATTAATTTTGAGAACTGTTGTAGGACATCAAAATGAATTTTGTTTTTTAAAAAAAACTTTGTGCTTTTTGTCTTGGAGGTCAATAAACTCCAACTCATATAATGTTGTTAGCACATGAATAGTGTATGTACTAGTATAGCATCATTATCTGTAAAAATAACACAACTGTCTCGTTAATTTTACCTGCAAAATGATAACTGTGTTACACTTTTTTATTTTAAAATCTTTCATAAAGATTGAGATGTAAGTTAACCTGATGTCATAATTTTCCCTCAAATAAAAGTAAACTGGATATCTTTCTAATATATCCATTTTTGTGATCAAATTTGAAGTATATGTCTTCGAAAAGAAAACTTCAATAGCATTATATATACATGTGTATATATATATATATATATATATATATATATATATATATATATATATATATATATATATCAACTGAATATTTTCACTTTCATTTTTTGTGAAAAATACTTCCTTTAACGTTCAACTAGTAAGAAACCGTTTTTCAAAGCCACCTGTATAAAAGACTTCTTAAGCAATGGACTCAATGAAACATACCAAATGTAGAGATCAATAATACAGTATTTTACGTACTTCAATTAAACCAAAAAAACTATGATAAAATGATATTATATTAACTAAAGAATGGCTTTGATTATGTGGACATAATAGCTGTATAACCACTGCAGAAGAATTTACCCCCGCTTATGCGGATTATGTATTTTTATGCCCCCGTAATCGAAGATTCGGGGGTATGTAATTTTTGCCCTATCCATCTGTCTGTCTGTTTGTCCGCAAAAACTTTAACCTTTCCCATAACTTTTGATTGGATGGCTTTCTTTTAGTAGCAACATAATTTTGACCTTCTCCTTGGAGTTTGGCCGACTTGTGCAACTTTTAACCAAACTTAAACCTTGGCCATAACTTTTGAACAAATTATGTAAGGACTTGCATACTTCATATGTGTATTCACTGTGACAAAACCTTTCATTGGGATAAATATTTTTGACCTTTTGACCTTGACACAAGAGCTATCATATGGGGGCATCAGTGTTTCATAAACACTTCTTGATTTTTCTGCAGCAGTTCACGGGTTGCAACAGTTAATTCTCGATAACTTTTGATAGTGATATTAAGCGGACGCTGCTCTTAGCAGGGTCAGAGACCAGAGGAGCTTATATTCGGTAGTAAGGTGTCCATCGTCTGTCCGGCTGTCTGTTTGTCTATAAACAATATTTTTTAAATGCTCCTTCTTCAGTTTTGGTCCAATTTCAGTATCTCTTGTTAAACAAGTAGAATGCACTAAGAAACATTATTCAATACATCAGTTTTTATTTAGGTGCCGAATGTTGCCATGGTTATCAAAAATAGCATTTTTGTGAAAATCTTTCAGAAACCTACCCTACCTTCGTTTTGGTTTGAATTTTTGTAAATCTTTTTACTGAAGACTACAGTCATGTACAAATTTTGCATAAGAAATGTCAAAAATTGTGTAAAGGACAATTGATAATTTGAAATATCTTAAACATTAATAAAAGAAACATTTAAAACATTTCAACAGATCAATTGTCCTTCATAAAAATTTTGATATTTCTTATTCAAACCTTACACATCTTTCAAGTACACATTTTGCATAAGAAAATCAATTAAAAAAAGACACTACATTAAGATACAAAATTATATTTTTCGGTTTTAATTTCGATTAACAGTGATGCCATGGTTTATAAATAGGAAAATTTTCAAAATCTCTACTTATTGGTAGAGTTTTGGTCCGATTGAAAAATTGAACCCCCATCATAAGGATCAACTCCTTACTCCGCGACTCTAGAGTAAACGCTCTAACCACTGTGCCACGCGGGTGAATAATCAGTTACGTAGAGTATGGTTTACCAATTTTAATGTCTCTATACAAGAGGCCCTAGGGCCTTAACGGTTACCTGGGTATAATATAATAATCCATAGATTAAAACAGAATAAGCTGATAAATAAAGCTATATTGTAAAAGTAAAAGAAATAGGATAATCAGGGATCAGCAAAATATTAATTTAGTACTCAATAACAAATCTTAAAGTTGATCTAATTATTTGCCTGTACTTTCCCCCATTTGTCACTATCCCAATGCTGACTTAACAAAACAATAATTCTAGAGAACTATTAGCTAACATATTTCATTCCCCCTCGCACTGGCCTCTCTTGGTCTTTAAAGATGATGTATTATACAAAGATATCGTATTTTTGTCCCATTTTCATTTATCTATTATCTAAAAGTTTACATGACCATTAAAATCTATGAAAGTACTTTTGTATTAAATATTATAATTTTAAATATATATATTATTATAAATATCATAAATAATTATAAATAATATATAAATATTATAAGTTCTTGTACAATTCTGTTATTCAATTGACCTATTAAATTACATTATTTACAGTGATTAACTATTATAGGTGAATAGCAAAGGAGCATAACTTCTTTCAGTAGAAATTAATTAATTGACCAAAGGGTACTGAAGAGTTTCAAAATCTGGTAAAAACAGCCCTGCTTATTACAAGTTTATATACAGTGCTCCCTCGGTATATTGCTAACTTTTGTCCAAGACAGATTTTGGCATTAAAGCGAGGGTGGAAATATAACGAGTTCTGTCATAAATTACAATGCAATGAGCCCAGTTCAAGATGAATACGTAATTTATTTTAGTTAAAATCAAATGTCATGCTTTTGCGCGTGTGTACATACATATACACTCAAGCGCAACTTTCATTTCTTCCGGAAAAAAGTCATTAATGTATTTGTTTTTAAAATGAAATGAAAATGTCACAATATTACGACATTTTTCAATTTCCCGCTCTTTCGCTTTCTGTTGATCCTGGGTCGAAGAATTTAACAACCCAATGATAACGGTGTCAATAGCAGTTATAGTCTCTCGGTATACAAAAGTTTTTGAGGTTTATCGTCAATATCATCTGAATCAGAAGTAGATTATTTCACCATCTCAATAATACTAGATCAGTTAAAAAAGTTCGGTAACAGACGAATGGAAAGTCACGTGCCAGGGTACATGTCTAGATCTTCATGAACCTGTTGTAATATACACGTATTCTCATGTTTGCTAGTACCTGAGTACTGTAGTATCTGTGCGACTGTCCCGTGGTACGACTTACTGACGAGGCTACGTCAGATGGCGGGACAGTCGCACGGATCTCTTTCAGCGCCAAGATGTCAGACGGACAAGACGTGCTGCAGAGACGGTGAGTCAGCCCGGGCCAGAACCCACTACAGAGTATATTGTATATTTGTATATAGTGATAATAAATATTGTTATAAGTACTATACCCCCGGGTAGTTACTTTACTGGCGCCCAACTCGCGGGGCCCGGTGCTAGATTCCCGTACTGCTGTCAGGAAATTTTTTTTTTTTTTTGGCATTGTTTTTAGCCGCCATTTTTGGTGCTTAGAGCAGGTGTGATAGTTGCAAATTGTTTTTTGATTCTGATGCAATAATTTTTTGAATCAACTGGAATTAATTTGTGTATATATTTATTGCAAGTGATTTAGTGATTTTGTAGACTGTGATTTTATTTGAAAACTATTTTGTACTATTTATTATGAATATGTCCCTGGAGGAAGCCGTGTCGGCTTTAGGTCTGGGTAGTGACCCGGCTATCACGCGGTCAGACAATATCACCCCTCACACTCCGGGTAGGGTGGGGGGATACCCCGGGGAGGGGGGTTATTCGCCATACGCTTATAGCGGGAGTGAGCATTTTGCCTCCCGTCACACACCTTTTGCTCAGTCAATGTCAGGCCACATGGGAGGGGGGTTGCCCCTGGGGGGTCCCTCTACACCTATGCCCGGCCTGCACTCGGGCATCCCCTGTGGGGAGGGTAGTGTATTTCATGGAGAGTCAGGAAAAGAGGTAAGGTTTGCCCAGCCTCAATTTGGCTCACCAGGGATGATGTCAAGTGACTCCCTGGTGTCCTCTCTAGGTAGCCTGTGTAGGTGTAGCTCACCTGGTAGCACTGTGGGTTGTACCCACCCTAAACAAGAATATAGTGAGGCCCCTTCAAATTCAGGGTTAGAGCATCCATATTCTTTAGGGCATGTGCATTCAGTTAGTAGCCACCCTGTCCTTGTGGGAGACATAGCTAACCTGGGGGGCCCTGCTACTATGGGTTATAGACCAAGCCGTTTGGGTGAGGTTGTACCACACCCACTTGACCCCGCCCTTCCGTCCCATACACCGTGTGCTAGTCAGCAACCTGAGAGGCCTGTGAGGCCCGCACAGCTCACCTCCGAGTATGATCGTCAACATGTGAGGCCCGTAGATCCTGTAGGGCTCACCTGGAACCCTGCACCCATACAGAGCCAACCTAGACTAGCAGATTTTGGTGCGCCCTCTCTCCCTGGGGATGATTTGCAACCCCGGAGCTCAATGCCACGCACTATATCTGCCCCAGCCCCTGTAAATGTTGGAGTGTCACCAGCAATGGTTCATTCACAAGTAAATGCTTTAGACACTGGTGTGACTGCTGCAAGACCCCACCCTATATCATTGTATGCTAGTTCCTCAAGCACACCTTACCATGCGCCCCAATCGGTGTACATCAATCCTGGGGGTAGGCATGCCCAACCCCCAGTACCCGACCACGCCCATTCTGTGTTGTATCGAGGCGAGAGTACTCCAGCCACACTCCATGGTATGGCTATGCCCAGTGCACTGCAGCACCATAGTGTTCCTGTGTCAATGACTTGTAGTCCTGCCCATCCCAATACCCCAGCCTGCCATTTTGGAAGGGAGG